ATCCACCCGGCAGGAGAGAAGAGAACTGACTTTACAGATACCGGTCCACCCACGCAGAGCGTAAAAACTAAAAATTAAAAAAAAAAGTCACACACATCACAAGGAGAGGAAGTGTTTCAAACTGCATCAGCTCCCATGTCATGTCTATCGCAAGCATTGCCCATTAACTCGTGTATATTCCTCTCCTCAGGAGGACCAGGGAGGTCCTCAGGAGGACCTTAAGCAAGTCTGATCATGGTTATATCCCCACAAGAAATTAAATTTGGCATGGAGGAATTGAAAACCAGAGGAGAGCTGAAATCTTGCATCCAACATAATTTTTATGTCCCTTTCCTCTTCTGCTGGGGACATCACAGGCGGGCACTTTCTGTGAAGTAGGTATTTTAGAAAGGCGACCCATTCATAGAAATCCCTGCTTTTTTTCCCCCCTCTATCTCTTTTTTAAGCCTGGGAAACCCAAAAGGCTAGAATTTCATTTGGTCCAGATACATGAAAGAATCAGTAGCCAGAGCAGCCAAAAAGCAATCAGAAAAAGATGGTCAAAGACAACAGTCCCTGGCAGTCTCAGCGCTGGCAACAGCAAGATGACATCGATACCAACCAGACCGTTTCTCCCCTCCTTCCATGTAGGAAGGACACAAGTTGGGGGAAATTAGGCCAGAACAGTCTGCATTGCCACTGCATTTCTGCCCACGCTATGCACCGGTAGTAAAGGTCTTTACAATGCCTACAGTCATAAGAGGTATTTACTAAAAATGTACTTACATCTGGGTTGGAAAAATGTGAATCCCGACCCAGAGGAAGACCTGGCTCAGGCAGGTGGCTCTGCACACCCTGCAGTGATGACAGACGGAGGCCACCTGCCCTTCAGACCAGGGGCAGAGGCTGCGTGGCAGGCAGGCAGGCAAAGAGGGCTCTGAAGCCCAGGTTAGATCTTTGTTGTACACTTCAGAACACGTTTTTGTTAACTTGGGGAGGAGGGGGGCAATGGTCAATGAACCATGGCTTTGATTTTCTAGAAATACAATAAGCCATAGCATTAGAAAACCCCAGATTGCTTCTGGCTTTCCCTGCCCCTTCCTCCAACTGACATTTCAGAATTTGAGGGACCAGAAGGCACACTTCCGCCCTTTACCTTCAGAATCAGGTCAGCGTACCTCTACCACTTCTTCCCTATAGATCTTTTGCCTGTACGTAACTAAGAGTACAAAATCAGCTCTACTACAGGACTGCGTGTTTGCTCAGCAGTGCTCAGTTTTGGACTCGGTGCCTTCTAAATTAATTATTTTAAATTAATTTTGGTTGCTTTTGCGGGGCCTGCGTTAGCCCCACAAAGGCTAACGTGCTGTCCAGACCATGCCTGGGGACCATTTCCTACTCCGCAGGAGAAGGACTTACAGACTCTTCAATCTTCTAGTTAACAGAAAAAAGAGAGACACAGATCTACGCCTCTGAAACATCACCGCACTGTCTGAAAGAGGTGACACATTACAGTTTTGCCCTTTTGATCTCATCTAGCTGTTTCGGTCCTTACATTTTGGATTGATGGTTTGGGGAGGTTTAGCTTGTTTTTGGCATGCTATCCTTGCACCACCATCATTCCCACCTCCAAAACATGACAGAGATGAAAGGAATGAGGTGCAGCAGG